CCATGCCCAGCTAATTTTTTCTATGTATTTTTAGTTGTCCAATTAATTTCTTTCTATTTTTAGTAGAGACGGGGTCTCGCTCTTGTTCAGGCTGGTCTCGAACTCCTGAGCTCAAACAATCCGCCCACCTTGGCCTCCCAGAGAGCTAGGATTACAGGCGTGAGCCACTGCGCCTGGCCCAGATAAGAATTTTATAACAGCTATTATTAATATGTTCTAAGAACTCAATGAACTATGTTTAAAGACTTAAAGGAAGGTATGACAACAATAACTCAACAAATAGAGAATCTCTACAAGGAGTTAGAAATTATATAAAAATCAAATGGAAATTTTGTACTTGAAAAGATCTAAAATGTGAAATAATAAATTCACTAGAAGAACTCAACACCATAGTCAAGAAATGAAAGTTTGTTTACTTTTCAGTTTTTCAGGTATATGCAGACATGGGAAAGCCCCACAAAAAGGTGTGTTTGTGGAACTCAGCTACCTGCATAGCTTATCTTGCTTTGCAATTTTAAGATTCTCCTTTCCTTTTCAACCTTGCTAGCTATATGATTAAGGAGATTTGTTTTTATAGGATTTATTTATTTTATAATGTCAAAAAGGAAAGGGTAGTCTGATTATACTTGGTGATGAAATCATTTACCAATGGATGAATTTTATGGTGGTAGTGTGATCATACTTGGTGATGAAATCACTTAGTGAGGGATGAATTTGATGGTTAGGGTATTGTATTAGTTAGGGTCTTCCCGAGAAATAGAACCAGTGTGGGGTGTGTATATAAAGTAAATTCAAAATCTGCAGGGTACCTGGCAGGCTGGAGACCTGGCAAAGAGTTGCAGTTCCAGTCTGAAGGGAGAATTTCCCTTTCCTCTGAAGAGGTCAGTCTTGTTTCTATTAAGGCTTTCAACTGTTTGGATCAGGCACGTTTACGTTATGAAGGAGAATCTTGCTTTACTCAGAGTCTACTGATTTAAATTTTAGCCTTACCTAAAAAAAAAATACCTTTAGAGAATAATGTTTAAATAAATATCTGGATACTTTTTTCTAGCTGACGCATAAAATTAATCATCACAGGTATAATGAAGATAATCCTGATTAATAGCAAGTGCTTGTTTAAAATAATGTACTATAGCTTCTTTCTTCCTCCCTCCTTCTGTCTTTACTCTTTAAAATTAATTTATTTCATGGTAGGGAAATTATTCTAGGAAAAGACTTCTATATGTCTGTATCATTTGCTAAGTTGTTTTAAGAATGGTTATTGATAAATAAATGTGAAGAAACTTTTGAATTAAGTCCATAAGTCATTTCATGAACTGTAGACCTATTGTATCTTTTTATTCCAAACTCTCTTCTTGCCTGGCGTGCTCACCTTTTCTCTCTTGTTTTCTACTTTTCTAATTAATGCAAGAGGCTGGCTGGAAATAAGCATTTCCTTTTCACTTACTTAATTGTTGATCTGATTACAATAAACTAAACTGTTACATGTTTTATTTTTGTTAAAATGTTTACTCTCGAGGAGACATTTTTATATGGGATTGTTTCTTGTGAGTGTCATGTTACAATTGTTGGTAAATAGATTTTTTTTTCCTAATGAGAGTGAGTGATTTGTGTCTATGTGTATATATTTTAAGTTTTTCTCTGAATGTTTGTAGTGGGTTGAATAGAGTAGACTCTTTAGTAACTACTGTTGGGGGAGAAAAACTTTTTCTTTGCTCTCTTAAATTCTTTGATTGGGGGGGGACCCTGCATATTAAACTGACAAAAGACAGATTAGCAAGAGGACAAAAAAGTCAGATTTAATTACATATGTACACATAGAAGTTTGCAAAGAATTGTGACTTAAGGTGGATTATATACCATCTCAATATTAGATGGGGATGCAGAAGGGCAGGGGGCCACATCTGGGAGAACATGATGTCTTAGAAGGGGAGTGGGAGAAAGGGCACTTATAGAAAAACAAATGACTTTTTTTAATGTAACAAATGACATTTTGGAAAGATAATTGGGTCCTTAGGAGAATAGATGGAAGATATGATAGTTTTTTGACAGTGTCTGCTCGGGTGTGGTCCTGGAAGAGGGGATTTATGACAATTGAGTTCTTTTGGAATGCCCTCCTTTTAGGTAGATTAGGGATATCAGGAACTCAGGTGCT